AAAAAAAAAAAGACCAATTACTGCTGTTTTTACACACAATAAAAGGTTTTCATCTAACTGAGGTCAGAAATATAGAAAAAGTCAGTACAATAGTACCTTATAGTTCATCGAACACTAAAAACAATCAAACAAGACTGTAAGGTACAGTCAAAACCCAATATCAACAATGGATGTACATAGTCAGGTTTTAACCACTAATTACAAATGAAAAATCTTATCATTCTTCTTTCCTCTTTCCCTTGGAAAAGATTTGGCCATAGGCAAAAAATTTATGACGTTGATTTCATAAACTATAATTTTTCGATTAACTATTGGCCATTACTATGTAATATTTCAGTAATGTGGCATTGGGAGACATAAAATCAAGAGAGAGAAAGAGAGAATAACAAATTTTGTAATCAGGGAACTCTACAACTACAGAATACAGGATCATTGAGGTTCACCTTGTCGGCATGCTTTGAAGAACGAGGCAGAAAACAAAACGATACATTGTGATTCAATGAGATGTAAATAAGTGGCCCTGTATTCTGTAGTTTTACCCTTTAGTGGAAATGTCATTGAAATGAGTATTACTGTAATTAAGTCAACAGGTTGAATGAAATTTACCTTTCAAAACACTATGATTGCTTTCAAGAGCGATAAAGTGCAATAAATATTTCCAAGTCAGTACTAGATTTACATAAACAATTAACACAACTTCTTCTAAATATAGGTAAGGAAAACAGCCACACTCCCAAGGCTTCTGATCTCTTACGGTTTGGATCGTTTTGTTTGCATCCATTTATTCCTCTTACCATTGCTTTAAATTCATTGCATTCAAAGTAACTGGACGATAGGAAACAATTAGAACAGGTTTTTTGCAATAGTATTCACCGCAAAGTTTTATCAGTAAGTCGAATATCAGCCCACACGCCGGTAGCTGGTCTAGCGACATTTCAAGATTACACAGACAACTCGGGTTGAAAAAAAGAGATCTAGAAGAATATAAAAAGACAAAAATAACTTTAATTTCTTACCAAGAGCTAGAAATGATACTTTAGTGACCAAACGAGGAGTTGCAGTCGCAATTCTCTGTCCAAGGTTTACTAGCTTCTGCGCCATTTTGGATGTTCACTGCGAAGCGTTGAAACCATCATGCAGTGCGACGAAAGTGACCAACATAGTCATGCGCAATACGATAATGTCATACCACGTGCGTTAGTTGTGTTCCTGAAGGTTTTCCATGGGTAGACCAGGTAAGTTATTCGTTATTTCTTGCTCATTTGGCTGAGCTTTGAACGTCTACTAATTGGAATTACGTATTTCAGGTTTTAGTCCGCGTGGTGGCCGAGGAGGAGGTGGAAGAGGTGGCGGTGGACGAGGTTTGTGAACATCTTAATTCCCAGCTGAATCCAATCGTGCTGTTTATACTTGAAGGTTTTGCGTATAACTCGTGTCCGATAATAGTTTGAATGTATAACTCGTGTCCGATATTAGTTTGAATGGGTTCTCTTTCGAAAATGTGCTACAAACTAAACTTCTTTTTATTTTGATCAAAAAAGAAGTTCTTGCATGTGAGCCCAACATCTCGATAGATATAAATGTTGATCTTGCAGACAATGCTAAAACGTGCTCCAGTTTACTTCTGGTGTTATTTATGCCATGCATAATCTTGTGTGGAAATTTTGTTCTTGGTAAGCTATCAGAAGTTTAATAACTCAACCATTTGTTTTGAGGCGAAAAGGACTTTTTGTATTTGAGTGCATCTACTTGGTAATTTAATCTGAACACACAGTACACATCCATAGTACCAGAAACAGGAAGATCTTATCCACATGACTGTAGAAGTTGTAATTTCCTCCTTGGTTGAGGTGCTACAGCTGCAGTCCATGTTAAGTTATCCATATTCCCCCAACCTGAACAATCAGTCAAGTTTTCGTGGCATTTAGCTAGGTTGTAGCTGCAAAATTAGGCTGCCAGCTGAAATGGAAAGTGAGGCTGCTCAGAGATGGGGAAGGATCATAAGTGCACAACTTCAAAAAAGCTTGTTGTGCTTTACTGAGCTATCGCCAGTAAGAAATGTAACTGGCAATAGCCCCTTTTTCATCCAGTGAATTTCCCCGACAGCCATTGCTTGAAGACAAATCTTAATTGGGTAGCACTAGTTTTTACTCCCGGGCAGAGAGTGGTTCCCCAGTACTGTAAGGAAAGGGTTTCTTCTGAAGATCACAGCCCTGTGACCAAAATTGTAGCTCAAACATAGAACAGACCACAGTCCAGCACATAAGCACTTTCTCTTCTATAAGACACCAATAATTAATTCCACCTAACAATATCGATACCTAGTCAATGTGGTGAGAAAAAAGGAATAAATTGTTATAAAAGGGGTATTTTTGGACTGGATGCCAAATTCATAGAGCTATAATCTCAAGAAAGGTGTTAAAGACAGTCCAAATAATTCTTTCTTAGATCCTGGAGGTGAAGAGATACAAATACACAATTTGTGTAGAGATCAGGTTGCCCTTTGTTAAAGCAATGATGAATAGAGATATTTGCATGTGAGAAAGGATAAAAGGGTGTAAAAAAACTGCCTCCCGGTTAGCTCAATGGCTAGAGCGCTGGACTGTTGTGCGGGAGGTCGAGGGTTCAAGCCCCGGCCGGACCATCACTCAAGGTCTTAAAATAATTGAGAAGGATATGCTACCTTTCTAGAGCATCAAGAAATGGTTCGATATTGTAGTCTTCTTGGATAGGGACAAATATGGAGGTCCTGTCTCCTACAGGGTTAGGGGTAGGAGACGTTAAGTTCCCATGCACAAGATTACTGTGTGATGGATGTCCTCCCCTGGGGGTGGAATGGGTGGGATTTAATGGGTGGACTACTTGCATGGATCGCATATTTTCAGTTCTAGTCCTACTCTACTGTGGTAATGCAGTGAAAATGGATTAGAAAAATGGCATTTGAATGCGTGCAACAATTTTAACAGTTTTGTGGGCAGTTTTCAAGTCACTGTTCCTTGATCAGGATCTCAGGGAAATCAGAGAGAACATCACCTTAAGGCTAAGGTATCACATGTTTGATGCATGGAATGATTTCATTGATTGCTGGATACCCCAGTTACCTTTCAAAATGTTGTGTGCTCTTTTGTCCCTTTTTTTTTTCGACAACCTTTCTTGAAACAGCTTCATGACCTTTGCAAATACTTATCTCACCAGATACTGCATTTGTAATGAAAGTTTTTTCGTAGTACAGTGGAAGGGTACTCTATAGCCACAGCTACTAAGAATTGTTATGTTCACAGGAGGTTTCCGTGGGGGTGGTGGTAGAGGCGGAGGATTCGGAAGAGGAGGAGGAGGTGGATTTGGCAGAGGTGGGAGAGGTGGAGGAGGCAGAGGTGGAGGCAGAGGTTAGATTACTTTATTTACCGTAGTTATTCGACTATAAGCCGACCTTGGCTATAAGCCGAGACCCTAAACTCGCAAGACACGATAGTCAGTGTAAACTTTATGAAAAAAATCGGAAAAATATCGCCTATAAGCCGAGACCACATTCAGAGAATTCTGTTCTCCAACAAACTGAAATGATCGCAAAATTTTCGAAACAGAAAAGAGTTTCAATGCAGTATTGCCGTCGAAAACACATTCCGAGATAACCAGAGAGTACAGTCATCAGTGACATCAGTGAGTCGCTAGAGGAAAGATCAAGAAAATCTCTTTAATGGAGAGCTCGAGATGTCAGCGAAACGCACAAAGATGGGCCGTTACACTCAGAAATATCCGCGGTTGAATGAGAGATTACTTGATTAGTTTACAGAGCAGAGAAGCCAAGATTAGTTTTCTTTTTACGTGATCGCAAATTTCAACAC